CTAAGGTGGTTCACATGTGGTGGAATAGTTTCCATTTAGCACAACCCAGTCACGTGGTTGAAAAAGTTCGATAGACCCTATGCTGATGTAGTGCAATCCAAACCTGTGGTGGTGACTTTAGAGATATTTCATCTTCCTCCAATCTCACCCCGGGAGATCCAGATCAGTATGAAACAAAGAGGCCCCTAATTTGCTACTTTTTCATCCAATGACTCGCCATCCCTTTTATCCTCCAGAGCTGCTGGAGAACTGGCTTCCCTTGCTGCCCCAGTGGCTCCTCAACAACATCTTAGACCAGCTTATCTACCCCCGTCTCCAAGAGACCGTGGACGAGTGGAACCCAGTGGCCGACGTCGTCCCGATACATGCCTGGTTACACCCTTGGCTCCCTCTGATGGGTATTAAAATCTTGTACAAACTTCACCTCCTAAAAAACTCCAAACTTCAGCACAGTACAATAACCTGATGTAGCATTTGATGTATTCAAAATGTGGGTCTCCAACTGCAGACTGTGTAACATTGAAACCAGATACTGGATTTTGGTTAAATATTAACCATATGCTGCCGGGGAGCCCGGTTTCGGGTACGTGTTATTCATACGCACAGTCATGGAGCCCAAAATCAAAAAAAAAGAGCTGGGCCTTGTAACAAAAGACCGCACTTGGAACAGAAGCCCGAGCTACTGGGAATTGCCAACATTTTTTAGCTGTCAATAGCAGAGGAAATCCGACATTGTTTTGAAAGATTATACCACTGTTTGTGGCATTCAGCACAAGCGGATTACCACTAGGGACAAAAGCGCTCCAGAGCTCCAGTGATGAGCGATACAGCACTGCTAACCTGGCCCCTATTGAAAAAACGCCAGTAGCGCACTGTGCCAGTTTTGGGAACAAAAGAAAATTACATAACACCACACAATCTGGGCTCTTTTTTACAAGGCAGCAGACCTGGCTGAAATACTAGGGCATCAATAGATGTTGTCTGTCAGATAAGAGTAGCCACCAGACAGTCATTCTTGTGGGTGTAAATGTCCAGTAAATGAAGCTATGATTTTTTGAAGAATTTTGAAAATGGAAAATCTTTACGTCATGCAACTTTAAATTAGGATCAGAGCCAAAAATCAAAGGGATGGTCCATCCTTATGGTAATATTTGGAACATGCTAGCTGGTTTCATCCAATTCCGAATTTGTAGTACAATTGGATGTTTAAGAACATCATTTTCAAAGTCAGTTTTCACAGTAGTTGTTAAAATAATATTGGAAACATGGATGAAAGGTCTGTCGCCGCTCCAAGATCTCTCCCTCTCTCCAGGCATTGCCTTACATGTTTTATACCATTAGAAAGTTCTTTTGTCCAGCAGGATAATCACAGTTTTCGATAAATTCAGCTTTTAGTTAATTTGTGGGAGCAGGTCATGTGAAAGAATTACAGGTGAATCCCTTGAAAAAGCCGCCCATGCTTTTTGCTGTTATTGATTTGAGAATCATCCAAATGTAATCCTGAACACTTGATAACAGTTGTTAACCACATGTTAGTTCCTTTCACAGGCTAGCCACACTTTTTTTTTACACATTGAAATAAGAACTGCCAAGCATTTGATTTTTGATTGAAAATGTCACTGTTGTCAGTTGAATGATTGTGTTCCCTGCCGTAGGTGATAAGCTGGAGCCGTTGTACATCCCCATCCGACAGAAGCTGGCCAAGGCTCTTACCAACTGGCACCCCAGCGACACCTCGGCCAAGACCATCTTGATGCCCTGGCGGAGGGTGTTCTCCCGGGGGACCCTGGAGGCTTTCCTGGTCAGGAACATCGTGCCCAAGCTGGCTGTCTGCCTGCAGGAGTTTGTCATCAACCCCTACGACCAGCATCTCGGTGAGTGACCTCTGGGGTACAACTTGATCCTTTGAAAAGTTGACTACCAGGGTGCTCCCCTCCTCCATATTGATGGGGTACCTGTCACACTGTACACCTGTCACACTTTTATTCCTGTGGATGATGGGAGTGAGTTGGTGTAGTGGTTCTTTCCCTCACCTTCCTCCTCTGCGACCCCGGTTCAAGTCCCACCAGGGTCAGCATGTGGATTGGGTTTTCAGTCCCTGCCTGATTCCATGGGTATTCCCTGGAAGAGTTATCCAGGGTTTTCCTCCCACCTCTAAAATGTAACATTTTTTCACTTCATCCCGTAATTGGCGCTAAATGTGCTGTTGGATGATCAGATATATGAATAAATAAATAAATAAAAGTGTGCCCTGTCAGAGTTTGTCACATTATCAACAATGCCAGTCTGCTCAGTTCACTATGCAAAAGCCTTTTATGTACAACAATATATTCTCAGTGGCAGGAGTCTAGTTTATCTTTCAGAAGGAATAACATTTGTGGTTGGCAAACTGGCTATCAACATGTCAACCATTTGACTCTGAAGTGTAAGCGCAGTGTTGCTATCTGAATATGCAGGCACAGCTGATTGGTTCAAATGTTAAGTGCCATCTCACTCACCGTCTGCTTGCATTACGTCGTGCAATGGTCATTGCCTGGAGACAGAGCGTACAAAACCTGCTGCCCAAAACAATTGAATCCACCAGAATATTACTATCTCACTAAAGGGGTTTCACTCAGTCGTCACCAAGGGCTGGTGGCTTCGTGGCAACCATAGTTAGACATTATCGGTTCAATACTGAAAGATCCCTACGGTAGTCAGATGATTTTTGGAAAATATCCCTTCGACCTTATTGTGTGCTTGAAAGAAATGTTTATGGTAATTGTAACAGGACATCACTACCAGGCTATTTTTATTTGCTTGGCCAATTTCTTGGGCCGGTATACTTGAAATTTCTCCAAATCATCTTGCCCTATTTCATGTTCTTCTTCAATAAGGACCTTATAGCACTGACTTGACGTCGTGTCCCTTTATCATGTCAGAGTCTCTCAGCAAGGTGCCTTTACCTTTATTTAATTTCAAATCTCAGAGCCTTACCGCTGGGTGGTAGACTGGGAAGAGTTACTTCCAACCCCAACGCTGGCTAGCCTGTTTGAGAAGCACTTCTTGCCCAAGTGGCTTCAGGTCCTGTGCTCCTGGCTGGGCAACAACCCGGACTACGAGGAGGTCAGCGAGTGGTATCTAGGCTGGAAAGGACTGCTGCCCGAACGCATCCGGGAGGAGCCGGCCGTCAAAGGTAAGCGTCAATTCCACCAACTAAGCACTTAACCAAGCGGAAACAAATTACCATAAATTCAAGTGGGAGGGATTGGTGGAATATAAGCATCAATATCTTTGGCCTGCTAAGCATGTAATACCCAAGCATGAAAAAATTCTGCCAAACTAAATTAAAATCAACAGCCTGTTGGTACACCATGAATGGATGTTGGGAATCATTCCTCCTGCGACATTATCATTACGTCTTGCATCACCCCTGCGCTGTTTTTCTTTTTAAAAGCCAAAGTAGGATAGATGTTTTTCTCACGGAAGATCCTCTGAAATTGTCAGATTAAGCAACAAAAACAGAGGGCAGACAAATGAAAAGCAGAGCAGATATCAATTTCTCGTGATGTGACAATAATTTGTTTATGTGCAGCTTACTTGAAGGATGCGCTTGATGTCATGAACCAAGCAGTCTCAGGTGCACATCCTGTGCGAGACGCCGATAACATGGCCTACGTCAGCAGCCTGCGGCGGCAGAGAGAAGCAACAAGCAGCAGCAGATGGGAGCCAGAACCAATGGTGAGTTACCGGGATCATGGAGGTATTAAACACAAGGAGTTAGAATAAGTCCCTACAGACCGTACTCCGATTAGCCGCTCGGGTTGGCTCCATAGACAAAGCGCGGTTACTGGCCCCAGTGTTGAAGACCCTAGACAATCTTTCTAGGCAGTGATCACCACCGCCAGGTAGCTGGTAGCCCACAGACTCGCTGTGTTTCCCTGCAGCATAATGGAGTAAAACTAAATGGTGGAAAAGATGCACGAAGAAGATTCGTAATTCTCTCCTGTAGTCCTCAAGAGTCAACGAGTGATCTCCGCAGATGCGCTCAAAAATTCTGAATCAGCGGTGGTTATTCAGAAAAAGTCAGAAATTTTTTAAGTCAGTTACGACATTTTGCAGTTCTGGTGGTAGAGAATAAATACCCAAAATATGAACTGCGATATTTATATCATAAGTCGCAATCCTAGTGGTTCCTACGGTTAGAAGAAGGTGGAAACATGCCACAGGAATGCATTTGACAACGTGACGAGGTTTCATGCCTGGTCAATAGTGGCCAATGACAGGAAGGACAACGAATCCTCCCGTGTGTTTGTGTGTTTTTTTATTTTCCTCTGGACCAGCTACATTCTTTCAGTTTTCTTTTCACATATTTTTGTTTTAGTAATTTGGTTTATTGTTAAGAGAGACGTTTTGGTGATGTAAAGAGGCAACCAGACTTTCATTATCATTGAAATATCAGAACAATCACTAAAATTATCGAAATTTAAGTCTCCGAGGACGGTGATTTTCATCTCATGGTGGCCATGTTGAACATGCGGAAGTGTTACGGACATGCGTACACGGTACCCACAATCCGTTCCAAATGCAATTCCCAGCATTCCTTGTAGCCCGCAAACGGCGCGAAATTTGATTTGTCCTTGCAGTACGTGCAGTGCTTGCCGTGGCCATCATTGACCCTTTTGACCTCTCTATGTGCTTACTCCTTGCGTATAACAGCTCCATGCCGGGATCTACTAATTGGCCCTCTGTACTGCGTGATTGCATGATAAACCCCCTCAGACAGTTCTTGAAGAAGTAATCTAAACTCAACTGCCATTCTTATTCCAGCAGGCGAGACAGTCAAGCGCTCCAACCATCACTGTGCCTACCAACTTCAGGGATCTAGTTGAAAAGAAGGTGCGTGACTTCAAGTTTAAAGGCATTTTTTTTGCTGATGTAAATCAAAAATTGAGAACACTCATTACAAATGTACGGAATGAGAGAAATTCCTACTTCTAGGACAACTTGATTTCTTTGTTCACTCAATTTTTTGACCTCTTACACGTTGAGTATCAGGCCAAAAGTACTTTTTCAGCCGTGACAGAGATCTTTTCTTTATACGTTGTTGCTTTTTATACTTCGTTCTTTTGTGGATAACTTTGAGAGAAAATGAGAACTCTTGCTAGTTTTGCACTTGAAGAAAAAAATGAGTTCTTTTTTGTTATGATTGGAGGGCTTCTCATAAGTATTGCTAAAAAGAGTACGGATCAAGTGCTGTGATATCGGTGTTGCTTACGTATCATTTTTATTCCATTTTGCAGGCATCGGAGAACAATATTGTTTTCCTACCCACCAACCGGCGACATGAAGGGAAGAATGTGTACGTGTTGGGCCCTCTTAATATCTACATAGAGCGATCTGTTGTTTATGTCCACCAGGGACACGTATGGACACCTATGGGCTTACAGACAGCCATTGAATTGGCCCAGAATATGGCCTAGGCTAAGGGAAGCGGTGTAGGGTTTAGTCAAGATGCCAAAATACCATGTGACCACAGGGATTTGTTTTTCTTGAGATCAGCCACCATTGCAGCAGGCAAGCAGTTATTTAGCAGCCGCGCGCCGTACCGTTTGAATTAAACAAATAGCTTGGTTTCCATGGATTCCAATATCAAATAGCACAATGGTCATGACTTGTGCCAGGTGCCGCTGTAGTTATCCTATCATTCCAATGTTGGTCGCTGACTCCATGTCGTTCTTAAACTTCCTGCCAATTGTAAAGCTCTGAAGGCTTGCCTACAATCTAAGCACAGTGCGCAGCACCGCAGTCTTCTACGACAATGGGGGGTATAGGTTCGGTCACGTGAGTGATTGAGAGCAGTCCGTTGTGGCTTACTTCAACCTAACTGTGGTCTTTGCCAAAGAAAGCTTACAGAAGCAGCTTGAAGAAGTTTCTCCATCAGCATTAGATAGACAAGTGAATTCAAACAATCAGGCAAATCAGCTTTCTTCTACGTGGACTTGGGGCACAGGTCAGGTACCGTCATGGATACAGAGAGGCAGACTGGGCCTTCCACAGGTGGTTATGTTATTGCTCAGCCAAGTCATTCGGGTACGGCCTTAAACACCATCTGGTAACAGCAGCGCCCTCTGTTGCTCCGCGCCGAGCATATCCAGTTTATTAGTGTGACGTTACTTAAGCTCAGACTGCGCTTACGACACATAGGATAGCATCCGAACCACTGAAGCAGAGGTTTAATGACACAATTTGAGTGTCCATCCAGCAGGAGCTTGTCATCAGTGGTGCGTGCGCGTGTACGACGAAGTCACTAATGAAGCGGACAGCTTTCAGAAAGGTTCATCTTCTTTCATGTACAATGTATTCTGTTGAGGGTTAATCATTGTGACAGTGGCAAAGCTGTTGACGGACACAGCTACAGCATGGTCAAGGTAAAAGCAAGCCAAGGTGCCAAAGGCAGTTGCCAAAAGTACTTCTCACATTGAGGTGGCCGGGAGTCACTTTCTACAAATGCAGTAAAGTCTCTCCACCCTGAAAAGAGAAAGTAACTTTTTGGAGATCTTGTTATATTTTCTGGGTCGATCTGCACCTTACTTTTCAGGGAGAAGGGGGTGATATCTTTCGTTAATTTTAATTGTAATTTATAAGTGAACAATTGCTGTAAGAAGTTGTGGTCTCAATAAAGAAAACAGCATTTTATAGACTTTTAGTTCATCTTCATTCTGTTGATTTCGTCTATGATGTTTGTACAGCAAGATCTGTTCCTCAATTCCTCATTCTTTGAAATTACACCAGATGCGGCGTACATGTTATCCAAATTACGGACCAGTCTCGAGAAATACATGTACTATGTATATGACTGCATAACAAGAAGATATTTACAGTTTAAAAGTTAGTTTCCTGTTTTTCTTGTTTGAAAGGGTTTTTCACACTGAAGAATCTCCAAGGGTAGCTGCAATCACTTTGTTTTATTACAGACCTTCAAATGGACCTTTGTACAGTTCACCTTATTTTCAACTTTTGTTTCACTAATTCAAAGGGTATTTTACCACCTCTTTGGTTTTTATGCTTATGAGTAATTTCCATATTCATAAACAAAACTGTGATGTCATCCCAGGCAAAAGGTTTCAATGTTATATTGGTTTGTGCACAGACAGTTTTCTCTTTTTTGCTGATTATTAGTTATGTGCATAGCAGTAAGAAAGCATCAATCCCTCTCTCAGAAAAGCTTCCAGTAAGTAAAGTCTGGGTGTCGCCATTAGAACAGAAATGCCTACGCCCTGAACCATGTCTTCCCAAGATGTCTTCCTAGCAACAGCATGCACTTTCAGTGCATTTAACCACAGGGATGTTATAGTTTTCATACATTGAAGAATACAAAGTTCAAGAAAAAATTGCGTCTAAGAAAAATTCATTGCAGCTACACTTTAAAAGCAACCTTTTTAAGATCTAGTTGCAACATGTACATTCATGCCACCTTAACTTTAAGAATGACTATCTTGGGGGGCTGTTTTTTGTTTGATTTTTTATGCCGTTGATTCAATAAGGTCCCAGAGGTAGTTGGTTATGAAGAATTTGGAGTTCTGCCGGCTGTCCAGAGAAAATGGTCTGACATCCTTGGAAGTTGAAATGTCTGGTCAGATATTGTTAAGGAATTATGCTCCAAACAAGAACAAGTGATAGCAAATAAAATATGACATGAAGTTCTATATTTGTAAAATTGTATATTTGTATCAAAGTTTGGTATTTTCTTCTTTTATGAAAGTTCTATTTGGACAAAACTTTTTTTGGTCTAAGATGTCAAGTAATATTTCACAGATAAAGAACATTTATTTTGTTTTACGTGACTGTGAGATTTATTCACATTATCTTTGTTCCAAATTAACCAGTATTATATTACATTCTTTGATATTTTGTCCACAGAACTTCATTGCTACATTTTACTTGATCAGAAAACACAAAAAGGTGCATTTTTCTATTTAAGTGTAGCTTAGGAAAAGGTAGATAAGATTTCTCTCCAACAGTAGTAATAGAGTTTTGACAATATTAAGACCAACCAGACAGGCATACAAATGGATAGAGAGACAAACAAATAGGATGTCAGAGTGCAAAGGATACAGCCTTTAACCTCCTCGGGTTGACTGTTGAAATCCCACGTTAGCTTGGTTGCAGCTTTGTAGAGACTTACATTGTATCTGAAAGAAAAGTCCCAAATCATTTGATGATTACTTTACTTGCACTCATAACCAAGGTTTAGTTCAAGTTTTCAGGTTTTTTTCAAAGAATATTTGGCTCCTATTTGCTGAAGTGAGCTCCAGTGAACTTAACAAACGTGTCACCAACCTTCAAATAAGTATCCTACCATGCTTGAAAACTGTCTATGGATTGTAATGAAACTTAGTGGTAAAAGGAGGGGCGGAGACTCACCTGGTCTTGGGGAGGACGTCGGTTGTCTGCTCCTTCACTGTCTCCCGGTGACTCTCCAGTTTAACCTGTAGATCTGCCAAGTGATCCAACTCCCTCTGAACAGCTGTAGACAACTTGGTTACGATAAATGATCGACACACATTTCAAGCTGGTTCTAGTTATGACACAACTTTTACACCTGATTTATCTAAAGAAGTCTTCCTGCCATCAATAATCACAGGTGTAGTTTCATGTGAGATTTCATTGAATAGTAGGCCTTTACTGAGAGCTAGTGCCAGTGCAAAAAAAGCAAGTTAAAAATGTACATCAATATTTCACAACTGGAGGTTTCAGTGAAGCTTGTCATTAAGCATTTCTGGTAATGAAACCAAGGATTCCTCAAAAGTGCCCCAGACAATGTAGCTCATAAGCCCCAAGAAACCTGTAGAGAGGAGATGAGAAGAATTGACAGTTTTAGAAGTAGGAAGAAAACTCCAGAAGAATTTTTGGATAAAACCAAGGGAATTTGGTCGGGACTGCAAACCCAATCCACACATGGCCTGAGCCAGGAATTGAGAGACAAAGAAAGAACCACTATGCCAACCTGATTCCCTACGTTGTGACAAACATGGAAATCTTCCACCAGTTTTTCCCGCCACATGACTGATTCCATATGAGCTGATTGGCTTTTTCTATGTTTGCATAAAGGATATTGGACCTCCTGTTGGAATGTGGCAAGTTTCTCCCAGCTCTTGGCTTTGTCTCTTTGGGCCTCGCCTATCTCGGGAGTAACTGCATCATGGGACTGGTCACGTGACACACAGGCTGCTCTCTCATCCTTCATGTCCAGGTATCCTGCAGCCACAGAAAAAAAATACACAGCGATACCAGCATTATTCCCTGACAGATTCGGAATTTGAAGCATTTTGGCACTGAAAGATGTAGAGTTTTGATGACATGGACTAAGGCTGCAGGTGACACTTACAGCTATTGATTTCCTGTGACTTTATGCGCAGGTTTCCATAAAGCCAGTGAAAATAGTTGTGGGAACTACAAGGGTGTTAAAATATAGATGTTACAAGACCAAACACACTATGAGGACAAATTTTTGTAAATATCAACTCTCAACTTCCTAACAAAAGAAACTGTCCTCTCACTGTGGTGGAAAGGCCTGGCCTGGCCAAGCCACACAGGTGAATAAACGTCCTACGTGACCTATTTCTAACTGATTGTGTACAATCCTTTTATTTATTCACGCAGGAGCTGTTCACCAGGTGAGGCATTGTTGCAAGGCCACCTTGTAGTAACTCTTCATATTTCTGTCACTAGAGGGCGCCACATAAAGTAGCAGCCCTGGAGTGAACGGAGGCCAAACTGTGTTCGGGATTAAAAGGCGATCGCTTTTAACTTCATACCTTGGATGATGTCTTTCAAAGTCTCTTTCTGCCGTTCCTCTGTCTGCTTCATCTCTTGAATGGCCTCGCCAAACTGTGTGAGCTTTGTGGTGCTGGAACCATCTTGGAAACACAGGCCGATCTCCTGTGTTGCCTGGACAGCTTTTCCCTCCTCAATCAAGGTGATTACATCGGACAGATTAGCTGAGGCCATTTCGTCTAGCCTCAGAAAAGCTGCAATTACACATACATACGTGTACAATAAATTCACTTAATTTGGTTTGGTTTTGTCCTGAATGTGAACGTTACAAATGGACTTTGTTGAGCATGGTGAAAGAATTACAATGACTTACCTAGTGTTGTGTGCTTACTTTTAAAATTTTTGACTTCGTGATTATGAGTTCGGACATGTCGTGCATGTCGCAACAAGGTCCAGGCTGCCTCAGTAATTTTTTTAGCAATAAAGGTAGGCCTAAGACGATACCCTAGTTGGAATGACAACATCCATGATGAACGTCTATCACGTCTGTGAGCATACATGCTATATTATTACAGGCCTAGTCGCCAGGTACCCCCAGAACTGTGAGGTCTGACGTCTGCCCTTGAGGCTTTGTGGGAGCGGAGTGGACGTCGGACCCCACAGTTCTGGGGGTAGTCACAGAATTCTATATACTGAGGAACTCTAGTCTAGCGATATCAGTATCAATCATGTCATGAACAGTACATGTATGTCTATCTGGTCAATCGTCATGCATGCATCGTCACCATTCAATATGCAATGACGTGCTCAACCATCTGATGTTGGAATGGTTCAAGCAGTTCGCGATGCAGAAACATGACAAAAGTACCAAAGAT